AAGCTGACTAATGTTGGCAAATAAAAAAGAAAAATTTCAAGAAACAAACTAAGATTTATTTTTTGTAAGGATAACAGATCAAAAGTTTAAATTATCTAATAATTTCGAAATTATATTCGCGAATAAAATATCTTTTTTTTACCATTGGTTGAGGAATTACCAGGAACTAAACATCTTAGATCTACTTTCGTACCAACGCCAAACGCATAATAGAATTGCGATAGTCGAAATAACCTATTACACTATACGCTATTTTGCGTAGCAAAGTCTTTATGGGATTATCGCGAAATCACTATAAAAATTTGTCTGGTTGAAGCATTCTTTCATACATTCTTTTTATATAACTGCAAAAAACATAGTCAATGAGAAAAGAGGATATCACGAAGCAATGATCATTCTTGTCTAAAAACATTTTGCCCTGAGCGGATAAAAACTCTCTCAAGATTACACAAATTATTTTTATTATTAATAAATAATATTGTCACAGTCGCATATACTGGTTAAGCCATGTTTTTCATTTGTTGCAGAAACTCTTGCAACCATACCTTACAACTCTTCAAGCCTTATGATAGCTGGTGTCAAAGGCGAAGAGGATCAAAATTTGGACTGCCATTTACAATCGGAAAGACGTTTTGCACATATAGGTAGCCAGCTATATGTGGCCTTATGTATAATATCATAAAAAAGGAATGATCTCTATTTCTGTCAGGTATGATATCAAATCGAGCGTTTGGGATTGAACCAACTAACCAGCAATTATAACAATAATTGTTAAAAGAACAAGAAAGTGATAGACTGGTTGCCCAATTTGATTTTTTTATGTAGATGGTTGTGAAAGAATTCTATAAGTAGCTAAACGACAAAAAAAACTTGCCAAAATAAATTTTTTAATGAAGAATCACAGAAATCAAGAATGAACCAAAAAAAGGCACATCGAATGATATGATAACCTCGTTTCATTTTTCGTTGATCTTTTTTTCAAAAACATTTACCAGTTGTGTTTCTGCAAACCAGAAATTATCATCATATTATCACCTTAATTTGTCGATATCATTGCTATTTACCTACGATTTAATTTAATTTCAAATCTACTTTTGCAATTTATTATTTTAATTATTCAATAAATTTCGCAAATATTTTATTTTCATTATTTCAATTCTTTTTTCCCGCTTCAAGCAAATTCATTTAATTGTATCATAAAGGGACAAAGCACTGAGTGGATAATGATCCAGATTATCATATTGAGCGCTAACTTTTCGACATCTATTCTCACCACCTATCGTCAAAGATCTTATGATGATGCCATCCATTTTTACCTTTATCACCAGGTGATTTCCTGGTAAAAATTTCTAGCCATATGAGCAAGCGAAGCGAAACAGAAATATTAGCAGACATATCGAATGAGTTCTAAAAATTTCTCAGAAATGACTTAACCTTCCACTGTAGAGTCACTTAAGGATATGATTACAAGTAGTTCCCCAGCAGCAACTCGAATTTTCGATGTCATGAAAAGTTTACCCTTGACGAAGACAAAAAGGAAAAAATGTAAAGAAGGATGAAAAATGAGCTAAAAAATAAAAAAATATTTAATATATACATTTTTTTATAATTTATATATTTTAATTGATTTATTATGTAATTTAATTTTTTGTTTGAGAAATTTTTTAAAAATTTAAGAAAATTTAGTTGAATTATCAGATATTAAGAAATAATTCACAAATAAATCACAACCAGAAGCTAACAAAAAATTTTTCAGTTTCTATCAAAAATTTTAACTTTTATTAATTCATCGCAATTTGAGGAAATACCAGATTTTAAATATCTCGGATTTTTTCCAATCCAAAATGACCAGGCAAAAGACGAAATTACCCACATAACGACAGTCCCTCTGGTTGACGAAATCTTTATGGAGCCGTCACAAAATTACCAAAAAAACGAAAATCCACATCTATATAACGATTCGTTCAATCTTGCTCTTTGGCTTCGAAACATGGCCGATGATAGTGGAGGATATTAAGAAGTTCATTTCCTTTGGCCACTCATGATGTGTTTAACATTTACATTTAAGACACATTTAAGGTTCGTGGAACGGATAAATTTTCATGATCGCATCCCACTTTCGTTTAAACACCACTTGCATTCCCATACCATCCCATAGTACGCCTTTCGTAAGGCTTGTTTTTCGTTGCCTACCACAGGAAATCGATACATATTTCGTTACTTGTTAAACCCTGTGGCGGATGGCGTCAAAAGCAAGGTGAACCATTCAAGACCTGGACTAATATAGTCAGAAATGTTTTTGAAAATTGGATCAGAAGGATTGGCTTTTACTGCTGTCGTTAATGGCAGACCGAACAGCTTGAAGGCGTCGTACCATTATAGTCAGCGGAGCTAACTTAACAGTAATGGTGAGAGCTATCAAAAGAACAATTTCTCATTGATGAAAGAAAAAAACGAATTTCAACGAATTTTCATTAAAATAAAAAAAAATAAAAACAATTTACAAAAAAAGGGAAAATTGTCATTGAAATGTTCGAAATGATGACTTCGACTCGGAAAAAATTTTCTTTCATTTTCCATATTAATTTCTTCGAATAAGAATTTACATATGGCAAACAATAAATATAGGTTAGTAGACTTTATCTTAGCCGAATATCACCAGTATTTATCGAAAAAACTATTAAAGAATTAAAAGGACAAGGAATTTTAAAGAAAGGTCTTAATAGCTGATTATGGTCATAAAGATTATTCTTATAGGGAGACATTTAACGATATATAATTCTTTCAATAAATAATAAAAATAATATATGTAATAATATAATATTATATAATAACAAATAACAATTGCTGATAATTCTACAATTTCATTTTGCAGATGGTAAATATAAATATAAAACTATTAATCATTCAAGGAAAATGAAGAATTATATGAAAAATCGTTGTGAAGTTAAAAAAAGTTTAAGTAAATATTCGCTAAATAGTCATAAGTGAGAAAACATTGAAAGATCATCGATTCAATGATCATCAAAAAAAAAATTAGAAATTAATTAAAAAAGAAATTAAAAATTAAAAATATTCGCTTAAAATAATTTTAATGTTTTTATTGATATTTTATGTGTTTATTTGATTTACCACTTACCATTTCTGATCAGACTGGTTGCATTGAACTGATTGCACTGGTTGCAAGTCTTCCCTCGTAATTCGATAGTCTGAGCCACTAATCACTCTGCTATTCTCTACCTTTTATCAAAAGGTGGTTTGATGATGGATATTTAAAAGTATTCGCTTAAAATAGTTTTAATGTTTATATTTTTTATTGATATTGATATTATTTTATGTGTTTATTTGATTTTTCAGTCAATAGCGGTGTAAAATAGTGGAATGAACAAAGGAACTGCGAAAATTTGCAACGGGGAATTCAGGGTTCGTTTATTTTTAACTTAAAGTCCTTTACTATATATTTTATTCTGGTGATTTCAGTATTTGCGCATTATTTAATCCTAATTGGCTCCTTCATATTCTTCGATCCCGTTGGTACCTCTTTTGCACTTCTTTTCTTATTGAATAAACAACAATTTCGAATTTTTTTTCGTCATGAATTTCCTCTTCTTTTCATTTGCACTTTAAAAATTGACTTTTTTTGCAAAAATAAAAAAAATAAAAATGAAGAATAAAAAAATTTTAGGCGAACAATTGTAGTGAATCTGAAATTCTGGGTTTAAGCGTATGTTTTCAACACACCGTTTTAACTCTCTTACCATGTGCATTTTTCTGGATTCTTTTCCCACTTTTTATGTTTCAAACTCATCGCTTAAAAATCACTAAACAATTTGAATCTTTGAAATGGTCCAGTCTATTAAGAACTAAATTTGTAAGTCTCTTTACTGATAATGATCAACACAAGTAATCACAACCATTTTTTGTTAGACCAATGACCAGTTCCATTCATTTTATCGATATTTATTCAGGATTTGCATAATTTCTTAGACTTGTAAATTTGATTTGAATTATTTTTTCTCTCTTTATTTTTTCTTATTTTTTGAATTAAATAAATTATATTATTTTAGGCAGTATTGATAGGTTTAACAGTGACAACACTAATAATGCTCATTAAAAGTATTGAAGATCTACATTCTGAAGAGAATGATTTATCGCCGATTAGATTCATTTATCTTCCAGTTCAAATTATTACAATGGTACTTATTTGCAGTAGGCATCATTTCATTGCTATTTTCCACCACTCCTAATCTTCTTATTTTTCTTATTCTTTAAAAGCTGAAAATATTTAATTAAGAGACAGTCATATTATCTATTAACATTATAGATATGTATTGCCTTTTGTATGTTGAGAATGAAATTATGTGGTATGGTAAGTTCGGGCATACTTTATCTCACATGGATCTTATTCTTGCTATGCGGAGCTCCCGAACTATATTCCAGCATAATTCATTTGGTAAAATTAAGTCTTAAAAAATTTCCGCTTGTTTAATTACCAAAATTTTAGCTTAAATCCCAAATGCTACCGTATTAAATTATTCTATTATATATCAGTTTATAAAAAATGATAAGGAAGAAGTATCAAAAACCAATTTCTTATGTCGATTATTCAATTGTTAGCAAATCATTAATTATTTTTAGAAATCGAAAGAAACAGATCAGTCCCAAGCGATATTATATTTTTTCCAATATTTTTTTATCATTCTGCAAGTTTTCCTTTTTAGTTTCGCTGATCCTCGGCCTAATTCTGCCATAATAAATGAGGTTAATTGCTTTTTGATTTAGCTTTATTTTGGCGAAAAAAGACCGATGCAACAGGAAATGGAAGTTTTAAAAAATTTAAGGAAAAAATAGAAAACTTTAATTTTTTAAAAGTATTAGTTTCTTTGCTATTACATGAATTAAATCTAAATTTTTTTTTCATTTATTGTTTATTTATAAAAAATAATATAACTGTCCAAAAAATTTACAGAATTGAAAAATTTTAGAAAAAAAATCCTGAATTGGACAGTTCTTTCCTGAATCGCATCATATTATGGTGGCTCAATCCATTATTTTTATTAGGTTATCGCCAAGATCTCAAGATTAATAATTTATTCGAATTGAGTGAAGGCAAGAAGTCGGTGTACTTAACTAGAAAATGGGAACAACTATGGCTACCTGTTTTCGAAAGTAAATATTAGCTTAGGAACAATTCAACAAATATTTAATAATATTTATTGTATAGAATTTTATTATTAAAAAATAAATTGTTATAATATTAATATTTATATTAATAAAAAATTTTTCTAGAATTAAATTAATAAATTAATTTTTAGAGCATTTGGCTAAAAAACATTCATTGGAATCAGCAATAGCATTAAATAGGACAGACGAGCCAAAATCCAGGATAGAACAGTCCAAAATTAGTGCTTTATTATTGAGGTCAAATTGAAAATTTTTATTCAGATAGCTATTGAGAACACGTGGCAAAAATAAATTTGTCAATTGTCATTTTATTATATAAAATTATAAAACAACATGTTTAGAATTATTTTTTTTTGTTAAATTTAGATAAATTTGGAAAATATTTTAGAATAAAAAATATTTTACGTACACACTCAGAACAAAATGAAAAAGCGTCTAAAAATTATCAACTTGAGCCGCCGTCTATAATATGGTTGTTATTTTTAATGTTCAAATATGAACTCTTGACAGCGACTGGCGTAAAAATATTTTCTGATATTCTGCAGTTTGCTGGACCTTTTTTATTGAGGTCAATTCTTTTTTTTCATATATAATACAAATAGCCTTAAGGCATATAAAATAAAATTTTTTATTGTTTTTTTTCATTTGCTTAATGCCATTCGAAAAAAATTTTTCAATGATTTTTAAACGTTTCAATATTTTTCAGCGAATTACTCACATTCATTTCCATTTCAAATATCACAATTTGGAAAGGTGTAGGCTTAGCAGTGGCTTTATTCGTTTGCTCACAGCTTCGATCGTTACTCTTAAATTATTATTTTTATTTAATGTTCCGTACTAGTATTAAAGTTCAGAGTACGCTTACTACTGCCATCTATAGAAAAGTTTATATTTTTTTTTATTTTCTATAAAAGATTTATTATATATTTATTTAAATACATATTTTAAATACATATTTTATAGTCTCGAATTATAATAATAAATTTCATTTATTTTGAGAAAAAACTTTTGAAAAATTTAAAAATTTTTTTTTAAATAAAAAATAGTTATTCTAATTAGAATGGTCATTGAATAGTTATTCTTATTTGAAATACAATAAAAAATAGAATAAATAATTTTCTTTTTGCAGGTTTTAAAATTATCGAATTCAGCAAAAAAGAATAGAACAATCGGAGAGATTATAAATTTAATGGCTATCGATGTTGAACGTTTTCAAATGATAATTCCTCATATTCAGCAGTTATGGTCGTGTCCATTTCAGGTATTTTATCAGTATCAGTAAATCACTTTTATTTTGAAATTTGCAACTTTATAAATATAGTCGATATAAAATTATTGGAACCCATGCAGTAATTTCCTATCGCAGTCTTTCGACCTATCGCAGTAGAATCTTTTACAATCCTCCGAAACTTTAATGCTTCAAAAAAATAAGCCTTATTATAGTTCCTTTCCAACATTCAACCATATTTTTTTTCTAAAACTTTTTCTATTTTATCTTATCACAGCTAATTGGCAACATTCCTTCAGGCGTCTCACTTTTCCTAAGAGCACCAACCATTTTCGGTTTAGCTGGACTCCTTTCAAGACCCTTTCATCAGATCTCATTTAAAGAAATACAGAAAGTTTCCAGATTTTAATTTTAATAGCTGGTTTTTTTCCGTCAAAATTAAAGCAGCAGAATTGCAAAAAGCAGTGATAATGGCCGCAGTTAAAATAACATGCCACTCGACCAGCCATAAAAGGGCTGTGGTCACTATGTTCTTTTCGGAAAAAATGGGAAGTACGATATTCATACCAAGCCTTATATTATCTCAAGCTTAACCATAGTAAATAGACCACATTAGAGTTTCTTAACAACTTCTTCGGAGCCTATTATGTTTCTTCATGTACAAAATCTCTATTTTCCTTTGGCTCAAGCACTAAATCTTGCAACAATCTTTTGAATGCCAATTTTTTTCTCTCCTTGTGCCATTCTGATTGAACCCATTAAAGGAATAAGAATCGATGATATTAAAAAAGCATGAGTGTGAAAAAAGTTGACATTCAAAGGGATAATAAGAAAATGTGGATCATTTTGAGTTTAATTCCAATTTTTGAAAAAATTATATTAAGGAAATAGATCAGAATTTCCCAAGCGATAAATCTTTTTGGTAATTTTCACATAAGCGAATGGGTGATAAGCGCTTACCATTTCTGGCTAAGCTTGTTCCGTCGGCTGGCTCAATGCAGTTAGAAATTTTTGTAATATAAAAATACACCAATGCTAGCCAAATCTAATTCTGTCGAAAGTAGGAGAGAAATCCGTGCGACCGATCGTTTGGGCGATTATTTTTCCTTTAGTTTTGGTAATATTATGATTTGATTTAATTTTTGTTTCATTAATATTTTGTGAAAAGATAAATACAACGTATCATTTTCATAAAAATAAATTTTAATGATAAATTTTAATGATAATAATTATACTCTTTGAAAAAACTTATTTATTTGTTTTTTTATTTTACTTTAATTTTATTTTTTACAATTTATCGGGCATTTTCAATTTTAGATCACATTGGTAATACTTTATTTATTTTATATTCTTGGATCATCGATAATTTCTGTAGTTGTAATAATGATTTTATTCATTCCGCTCAATATATACGGTTCAATTATCGTAAAACGATGGCAAGTAATGTTTTTAAACTATCCCATAAACAAATTTTAAAGCCTAAAATTTGCTTTATATCAAATTTCTATTGTATTAATCATTTTTACCGTATTTGGATTTCTGACTACTATCATTTCAAAGATATTTTGATAAAAATGATCCAATAAAATCGTATCGCGATTAGTAATCATAGTCGTCTCAAATTTTCTAAATATTTCAGGTTAAACAAATGGATTTGAAGGATCAAAGAGCAAAAATGTGTAGTGAGGTGTTAAATGCAATCAAAATTATAAAACTTTTTGCATGGGAGCCACCAATGGCAAGAAAAATTGAAAATATTCGGAAAAATGAGTTAAAATATGTTCAGAAATTCGGTTTTGCTAGAGCAATTGCCGATACCTTTAACTCTGCTTCATCTTTCTTGGTTTATCATTTTTTCATTTCTTATCAGTAGGATTTTGATAAACTGTTCAAAAATATGATAAATTTTTAGGTTTTCTTTTGTTTCAATCTTCACATTTATTATATATAAATAAGTAATCTAATATTTTAATTATCAAAATACCATGAAAAATAGCTTTTAAGGTTACAGCACTTGCTTTCGCAGTGTTTACTTTAACAAGCAAAAAAAATATTTTAACACCTCAAGTTGCATTCGTATCTTTAACGCTTTTCAATCTGTTACGCTCTCCGATTACTATGATTGGCTTACTTATACAGCAAATGGTTCAGGTAGTTTCTTAGAATTCATTTGGTCTCAATTTTTTTTGCACTATTTTATAATTTTTTTTTTAAAATGTATTACTGATTAGGTACGCTCCTCTGGCTTGCCACACTAGTTTGCTGAAGAACATGGATAATAATATAATAACAATAATAATATACCAGAAAATTATCCGCCTATAGAAGGTGAAGGTGGACCTTCATCACCATGCTGACCTTTCAGTGATAGATTTACTCTGACCCTGAGTAAATCGCAATGTTGGCGCTCTGAGCAACAAACCGTAGAGCCATTCTACTTTCCTTTGCATTCTTCCTTAGGCGACAGCAGCTGCCTGACAAAGCATAGTGCATCGTGAAAGCGTCAATTCTCAATGGCAATTATTTTGCCATTGAGATATCGATGTATTTCAATTCCTATTTAATATAAAAGCATTGGAACATCATTGAATATTAGGCGTAAGAAGTCTGCGATCAACTACCATGAATTCGGCCATTTCTTGATTACAATGCTACAATTAATCTCCAGATATCATAAATATCCTAAATCAAGTAAAATAATTGAAGAACTCTAAAAATTTTATATGGCGCCTCTCTCTAACTTGCAATTTTAACTATAAAAGAAAACTTCTGCAATACACCTGAATTCTCTGTCAGTTCGTCGTATTAAACAAGATTTAAAGACTTATGCTTATAAGATTCTGTATGGTTATGTCAAATTAGATTGTTCAAAAAATTATAATTTTAGGTTTAAATTTAAATCTAATAAGAACTAATGGGCTAAAATTATTAAAACCTATGTGTAAAACTAAGGACCCATGATTTCTTTATTCATAATATTAATTAGTGGAATAAACTACCGAACGATATAGCTTGTGCGCCATCCCTAGCTATTTAAAAAAAGATTAGATAATATCATTTATGATGCCTTATTAAGTTCACATCATGCATGAAGTGGGAAATCTCGATTTTTACCATTCGATTATAGTTATTTCGAATTGTACTATATTATATTGCTTTGTAATTTCCTCTTTGTTTCATCTTAAAATTAATTAATCATTTTTTATCATTAATTCTTATTATTTGTTATAATCAATTACCATTTTTTCCTTTTAGTTCTTCAGTTTTTTTTACTTTAAATTTTCCTTCCTTCAGGCAGTCGTTGCGAATAAGCGCTTGAAAGAATTTCTTATAGCCGACGAACTTGATCCAAAAAGCATCGAGAGGCTTCCCGCGGAAGGTTCATTCATTGAGTCTAAATAATTCTGATCTCAGATTTAAATTTATTATTATTTAAATAAAATTTAAATTTAAATAAAATAAAATTGTTATGAAATAAAAAATTTATCAAATACGATAATATTTAATATTTATGTATTATTCAGAATTATTAATATTATTCAGATAATATTCAGAAAAAGGCAATGCTATCGAAATTGAAAACGCTGCATACACATGGGATAAAAGAGATACCACTATTAAAAAATCTGTCGAAATTAATTTAGCTGTTCCTGTGGGAGAAATCATTGCTATTGTTGGTCGAGTTGGATCAGGAAAAAGCAGCTTTTTGTATTCCCTTTTAGGCAATTTTTTCATACGAAACTAATTTCTAGTGCACTATTAAAGCCTTTAATACCATTTTTTTTACAGCTTATTTGCGATTTCTATAAAAAAGATTTGAAAAATATTTATTGTCAAACATTGAATACTTGGTTATTCACAATATTTAGGAGAAATGGATAAGCTTAGTGGTCGTGCAATTTTAAAAGGTAAAATTGCTTATGTTCAACAGCAGCCATGGATTCGAAATTTATCACTAAGAGAAAATATCATATTTGGGCGTAAATTTGATCAAATTTTGTATGATGAGGTGATTGAAGCATGTGCTCTTAATAAGGACATCGCGATGCTTCCAAATGGCGATTTTACTGAAATTGGTGAAAAAGTAAATTTTCCGAAAAAAGTTTGCCAAAAATATTTCTTATAATAATAAAAATTCAAAAGCATTGTCTTGAAAAAAATTAGTTATTTATTTATATTAATATTAATATAATATTATTTTATTTTAAGGGCGTCAATTTATCAGGAGGTCAAAAAGCTCGAGTATCGTTAGCTCGAGCTATCTATCAAAACTGTGATGTATATCTGTTAGATGACCCATTATCAGCTGTTGATAGTCATGTTGGAAAGCATATATACGATAGGGTTTCATCTCTAATCCATTGAAATAAAATAAAATTTAAGGATTTTTTGAAAAAAATTTTAAGAGAATGGAATTTCAATGGAATTATTCTGCCGAATGCAAAATATCCTCTTAATCAAGTATACCGTCTGAAAAGTGCTGCTAAATTCCTTATCAAATTTTGTTAATTGTTTCAAAAATTTCAAAATATTTATAAAATTTAAAATTTAATAAAGTATAAAATATTGAAGGTAATTGGCCCTAGCGGATTGCTACGAAACAAAACTCGTATTCTCGTAACACATAATTTAACACACTTGAAAACAATAAACGTGATCGCTGTTATTAGTGGTTTTTTTTTTTCTTGAAGTCTTCATATTATTAGCTAAATTCGCTCCGCTGGCTTCTCATTGAATAAATATACTAGGGAATCCATTGGTGATAGATGGGTTGCCAATATCACCTGGATTTGTTTGGACAAGTTTACTCCTGCAGGTTACAGAACATTAGCATCGGCGTTTCGAGCCTAGCAATAATCTTTCTATCCTAAGCCATTCTATACCTTGTTATTAGTGATCTGATATAAATGATTTGGTTTTGAAAAGATTTGGTTTTAAAAAGCATTTCTTTTTACTCAGTTCAAACAATTATTATTTTTATCAAACTTATACAATTATTTTGGTGATTCATAATTCACCTATTCAGCCTTTTCGACCGTCTCAGCCGATTTTGTTAGGGCTAAAGTTTAAGAGTCATAGTTTAAGAGTGGATCGAAGCATAAGGATTTAAGTCCTTTTTGTATTTAATTTTAAATTCATTTGAATTTATCAGTTTTCTGCGATTCTAAAGTTAATGATAAGTTAATGATACAAACTTTTGATAATCATAATTTTTAAACTCAAATTATGTCCGTCTTAATGGTATTGACATAATTCATGGCGAATCTGGATTGAAGGCGACAACATTTTTAATTTGGTTAAAAATAAGAAATATAATAGATAGACTGTCATGATTATTTTAAAAATTTATAATAAAAATTTCGATGAGAAAGATGATTTTGGTTATTTTTTCCCCTATTTGTTAAATTTGTCATTTGTCATTTTTTTAAATAATGGTCCTAAATTTTTAGGCGGAAGAATATGTGAGACCGGAAGCTATAATGAATTAGTGACAAACGGTGGTGCATTCGCCGAATTCATAGAAGAATGTAAAGAAAATGAATCAGTCAAGGAGGATCAGAAAAAATTGCAGACAAATACTATTGCTTATATTGACAATCGAGAGGAAGTAGATGAATTTTTGAATGGTAGCAAATATTTTCTTAGAAATTCTTTAAATAAGCAAACTGATTTAAACTGATAATCATTGTTTATTACTTTAAAAAAAAAACTGAAAAAGCAATGCAATTTTTTTTTTTAGATTCGACTGGTATTGAACATACTGATAATTTCGACAATCAAGAGCTTAAACTTCGGTAGATTTTTTAGATAATTCAAATAAATTAGATAGGATTTTTTTTCTCAATGAGCGCTAATATCATTTGATTATAAAATGCAGCAAAATAAATTACTTATTGCAGTTTCTGATTAGGCTTGTACCATTGGTAGCGCGAAATTTTTGATAAGGAATTCACCTTTCCATAGAAATACAAGTGGAACGTTTGCCTATTCGTGTTTTTTAATGATAACATCATTCTTTTCATGTAATCATGAACGAATAGCATCAGCTGATAAAAGCGAGCTGATCAATCAAGACTTGAACTGATACAGTCAGGAAAGATTTGAGTATATAGATGGATTAGCAATATATTACAAATTTAGATGATGGAGAAAGGAATGGTTTCTATTTTATCAGCGATTGCGTCTGACCGAACATCTTATAGTTTGAAAATATCTTATAGCCAATCTAACCGGTAATTGTGAAAGATGTTTGAAGAAGAATCATGAGTTATAATTATAACCCTTTAATTTAAAATAAGTCTTTCGTTCTATTTTCTAATAATTTTGACAACTGAAATTTTTCCTGATATATTACATTATCTTCTTTTTAGACGCCTCTCTACGATATCAGCATTGGCAAGCAACTCCGAGCATTATTCAAATTCCTGTTCAACTAAATTATTATCAACTCGGCATTCTTTAGCGAAAACGAGAACCATGTCAAATGATAACAATTCCAAAAAATTTGATTTAATACAAGCAGAAAAAGCAGAAACCGGCCGAGTTCTCTTTAAATTTATCGTTGCATTTTTTAAATAATTTTTTAAATTCCTTGATAAAAAAAATCGAATTTCAATAATCTCAAAAATAATTTTAGTGGATGGCAATTCTTTAGGTTAAAACTATGGTCTATCTTGATTATATACGTGCGGCATCATTCCTAATTTCAACGATATTCGTAGTGTTCTTTCTTCTCTGTGCATCTTTTCAACTTGCTCGTGGTGTTTGGTTATCGGAATGGTTGAAATATTTATTATTACTATTTTTACATTTTTTATTTAGTTGATAAAACAAATTTCAGTAATATTTTCTCGTCATTTTTTTTTTTGTTTTTAAATTTCAGGTCAGATGCAAATGATCAAGATTTGGTCAACTATAACAAAAATAGTAGCATGTCTCTACGTGCTCGACTTAGAATTTATGCAAGTTTAGGCTTTATGGAAGGTTTTTTTTTTAAGAGTTCTCACCATTACTGGTTGAAATCGCTCTGCTGGATTGTAATTAATATGCCAGAGAGTGAGTTCCTTGGCGATAGTAATACAAGTGAGCCAGCATTATCGGGATTTTCGGACAGGTTTTGCTGTGAACTATTCCTCAGCCTCGGTGCTCCGAATTAAGCACATTGAGCTATCGGCCCATTGAGCCATTTTACTTCAGTTACGGAACATGATATTTATTATTATAACATGATAACATGATTCATTATGACATGATATATGATTGATGATATTTGTTAAGAACTCGATAGTTAAGTGATATATTGGTACATTGCTTTGATTTAAGTATTATAATTACACTTTGAACTTATCATTCCAACAGTCAAACGAGAAATAATAAGTAGTCCTAGAAGATCTTTAATTATATTAATTTTCGATCTTCCTCTCTTTCAGTAAATCCAATCAGTAAATCGACTTTGTTTTCAGTGATTTGCTTTTCTTTATCGATAATAGCTTTAATGTTGAGTGGAGTTCGAGCCTCTCGCAATCTTCATTCACCACTTCTTCATAATATTCTGCGATCTCCGATGTTATTTTTCGATACAACGCCAATAGGTCGAATTTTGAATCGGTTTGGAAAGGTGAAAATATTTACTTAAAATAGATTTAAAATTTTTCTGTCTTTCTATGTTCTATAGATTAAACGATTAGGCGACAATTTTCATCAATCATTTCATCATAATTTCAATATCTATGAGAAGAATATCTATGAGAACTGTAGTAGATCAGTTGCCTTGTTTTTTTTTTCCAAATTTCAAAAATGTCGAGTTCAACAATATATTATAAACCAGTTATAAACCTTGCTTGAATTACAATAATTTTCTGGATTAGTTAGTTCCACTCGCTTCGCTAGCTTTTCGGTTTGACAAATATGTTAGGGAGTGATTTGGCGATAGAGGACACCACTCTTCATCGAGTGGCATTATGATAACGAATAACGGAGAGAAAAGCAAAAGGAGATTACAGTGTGAGTGGCTTGTTGCTCATAGCATTATGCTTCGGGGCTTATAAATGTTTATATGAATTTTGAAAAGAGATAGGAAATAATGGTGATTTTCATTTCAGGATATCGATGTAATTGATCTATTATTACCATTAAATTTTCGTTATTTAATGATGTGCGTAGTGAATATTTTATCTACATTCATCCTTATAATCATTTCCACGCGACTTTTTATCATTGTTATCATACCACTCGCATCAATATATTACGGATGTTTGGTACTTTAGTTTCTTATAAAATTTTACAATTTTATTCTTCTTCTTCCAATATCTTTCATCATTGCTGGTTAGTTTAGCTCTGCTGGCTACAAGAATAAGTCGTTTTTAAGGTATTCGATCCAATGCCACTGCTATTAGTTAGTTAGCATTACTGTTTTATTATTAGCAAATATTAGAAGTCATTCCTTTTTCCAATGAAAATAAAGGACAAAATAAAATTTAGATTTAAAATCTAAACAATTTGAATCTTTATGAAAACATTTATCATTTTTTAAGAGAATTTTCGTTCCAACATCAAGGCAACTGAAACGTTTGGAAAGTGTTCATCGTTCACCAATTTATACACATTTCGGTGAAACTATTCAAGGTTCTGCATCAATTCGAGCCTTCAACCAGGTACAAATTTTTTGAAATTGTGAGGTTCTATGCAAATAAAGTAAATGTGATTGCAATAAGCACTGAAATATATTGTAGATTGATATAAGGAATGAGAATTTCAAAATAATGCTTAAATATGGAACACGTATGCTAATTTTTCAACGTATATTTTAACGTGTAATGACGTAATCATTCAGGTCGATAGATTTTGTGAAATATCTCAAGATTATGTTGATACATATATTCGCGTTAGATATCTTAATTTGATATCATTTACATGGTTAGCTATACGATTGGAATTAATTGGCAATTGTGTCATATTTTTCGCCTCCCTTTTTGCGGTCATAGCTCAAGATTGGGGGGTGGCAATAACAGCCGGTACTGCTGGTCTCAGTATATCGTGTTCACTTAATGTTTGTCAATTTTCTAAATTCGCTTAATAAAAACGGATTGCCTACGGCTATTTTTATTATTATGTTTGTTGAACAAATCGATTTAAAAAAAAAAAAAAAACGATAAAAAATAGAATAATTTGAGTGATAAGAATAATAATTTTGGTGAATTCTCATTTAGGTGACAGAAGCATTAAATTTTGCTGTACGGCAAATTAGTGAATTAGAATCCAATATTGTTGCTGTTGAACGAGTAAAAGAATATACCGAAACTTCTACTGAGGTAATACATTTTTACTGAGTTCAAATCTAAAAAATTTAATGTTTAATTTTTAGAATTTATTATTTATTTATTAATTTATTAAAATATTTATTAATTAAAAAATAAATAAATTGAAAAAAATATAATTTAATAAAAATTAAGTATATTGATTTTCTAGGCTGAATGGCGAATTCCTAATTGTATAAAAGAAAAAGGTTGGCCGAATCATGGCTGTATTGAATTTCGCAACTATTCAACTCGTTATCGACCTGATCTGGACTTAGTGATTGAAAAAATGAATATAAAAATTCATCCAGCAGAAAAAGTTGGAATCGTTGGGAGGACGGGTGCAGGTAAGAATTACTCTTTCCTCTTAGAGAAAATAGGTTTTTGATCAAATTAAATTTTTGATCAAAACTCAAATATTTTTAGGAAAGTCTTCTCTTACCTTAGCTCTTTTTCGAATGATTGAACCTACCGAAGGGCAAATCCTGATTGATCAGTTGGATATTGCTGACCTTGGATTGCATGATTTACGTTCCAACCTTACTATAATACCACAGGTAGGAATCACATCTACTTTTATGCTTATGTTTTTATGCATAAAAAATCGCAATAAGCTAAAAAATATAAGCAGAAATCCAACAAAGCATGAAACTTAATATTTAAGTTAAAATAAAAGAAATAAATTTCATTCTTATAATTATAAGCAAAATAACTCATAACTAATGGTACTCTTTTATAGGAACCCGTCCTTTTTTCTGGAACCCTTCGATTCAACTTAGATCCTTTCGAAGAATATGATGATAATCAAATTTGGCAAGCATTGCACTTATCGCATCTTAAAAGTTTTACTGACGAATTAACAAATGGTTTAAATTTCATGCTTATTGAAGGAGGTGAAAATATGAGTGTTGGACAACGTCAACTTGTTTGCTTAGCTCGAGCCTTACTTCGAAAGAGCAAAGTTTTGATCTTAGATGAAGCCACGGCGGCTGTGGATTTAGTTACTGATAATCTTATTCAGGATGCCATTCGTCGAGAATTCAAATCATCAACAATTCTAACTATAGCACATCGACTTAATACAATTATGGATTATGATAGGTATTTACTTTCGCACGATGATTTCATTTTAGAACTATAAATTACTTTTATATTAAAAAATTTAAGATTAAAAAAGTTGATAAATTGAAGAATAAATTTTATAATCATAAAAATTTAGCTGTTTTTTTTATAGAGTAATGGTACTAGAAGAAGGTCGAATTAAAGAATTTGATGCGCCACAAGTTCTTCTTTCCGATCATTCATCAATATTTTATTCTATGGCTCTAGATGCTAAACTTGTAGAATAATTACTAAAATACTAAATTAAATATATCATATAAATACCTAAAAAAAATTTAGGAAAAAAGAATCAATAAAAAAAAACGAAATTAATCAAGAATCTATTACTGTAGAATGAATATCAATATCATAGTTTATTATTGCTTATCATTTATCACTTATCATATTAGTGAATAAAAAATTTTTTTAATTTATTAATCAATATGCATATTAAATTATTTCATTTTTATTTTCTCGTAATTTCCTTATAGCCTTTTTATTGATCGAAATAAATTCATGTAATATAAATGATGCTCGTATCGTTAAGGAAAATATGTTGTTGAAAATTTGAAACAATTTTACTAATAAAATATGTCAAGATAGTTTTATCAGTCAAAAATATGAGGTTTATTTCCATAAACAATCCCGTAATTGCGCAAAAAAAAGTTTAATAAATATTTTAATATATATATATTTTAATATTTTAATATATAGTAGTAATAATATATATATATATATATATATTTAATAGTAGTTTAATATACATTTTTTTTGTTTTTTTAATAAAATAAAAAAAATTCGGCGTATTTTTAACTCGTTTTACCCAACAAAATTTTACAAGAATTCCACTGAAATATGATGAATAGGAAAAAAAAATGAAATTTCTGCGTAAAAAATCATTTTATTGCCTAAAAAATCATTTTTTTAATAATTTAATAAATCTTTTTTTTTAGTAATTTAATAATTTAATAATTTATTTAAATAAATATTTATTTAAGAAAGACCAGAAGATAATTTCTTTATATAATAGCGCTCGATAAGTTCGATAAATATCCGACAAAATTCGGCGAAGGAAAAGTATAAAAAATTAACTGACATATATAATATGTACTATTAAACTACTATTAAATATATACATATATATTATTATTACTATATATTAAAATATTTATTATTGGGCATTCGTTTGGAAGTCGCAGCTCTTATGCTTTTATCGTATTTTTAAGGCATTTTTATTTCTCGATTTCAACAAATATCTTCATTTTCTACGCAAGCGATTTGCTTGTGGTATTCAAATGGTGAAAGAAATAAAGGGAATTTGTTTTTAAATAAAGAAAAATTCTTCACATACAATGAAGAGGAGGAAAATGAATTGCAAAAATTTGTTTGCGAATTAATATTATTGTTGTCGAATGGCGATATAGCACGCTGGACAAAGTGACCACAATAAGAGGGGGGGGGGGGGGGGGGGGGGGGGGGGGTATAAGGAAAATTTTTTTTT